CTGTGGGACTGTCCGGAGCACAGGCTCATTGTGCCTGTGCCTGCCTGTGCATGTTGGAGACACCTGTGCCTTTACTGACTTGTGGAGGGAGAGAGAGAGATACCAAGACGTGAGGAGCAACCTTTCCCTCATCCAGTGCCTGGGCAGCTCAGAGGTGTGTGTGTGTCTCAGGTCTAAGGGATTATAAGGTATACTGGCAGAATTATTTCTGTTTCTGTCTTTTATAGTTGTTTTCTCATGCTTTCATATAATTTTCTATAGATGAAGTTGAAGTGTAGTTTTGTTCTACCTCATCTCACTCTGCCCTGCCTTCTCTCATTCCTCATGATACTCCTACTCCTCTGCCGAGCAAGAGGTACATTTTTGAGATCGTCCATGTCTCTGGCCCTTGCTGGGCACTGCCTCCTTGTACATGTACCGAGTCATGCTGGTGCACAAGGCGGAGCACAGCCATGTGGTTGCTGTGCTGCGCTAGGACATTGCTCTCGGTGCCTTCAGGGGGACATGTGCATTAGGATAGTGAAAATTTTATTTCTGGTATTGAAGTTTTTTCCAAAACTATATTTAATGGTATGTGTAGCCGGTTTCCAAGAGCTGATTTGTTACATGAGGAATAAGTAATCCTGAATGATTATAAGTATGCTTTTAATTTTGCAACTAGTAAGTAGACCGAAATGCAATATAGTACATTTTCCATTACCATGTTAGGTCCCTTTAGACAAGTAATTCTTAAACTTGTTTAGACTTATGTATTTGTCACTTACTTGTTCTTAGTTTTAATAGCTTTTGTTGTTTTTCCTGTGTAGTGTTAGCATATATATGGTATTATGGTAAGATCTTGTTTGGGCCCAGTTATCTGCATACATTTATTATTAGTACTTATGGTTACCAATAAAGTACATATTATACATGCTTCTGTTTCGAGCAGTGCTGTTCAGTAGAAATGTAATGTGAGCCACATAGGTAATTTAAAAGTTTTTTTTAGCTACATTTTAAAACTTCAACTAATTCTGTATTTCACCTGCTATACTCAAATGCTACTTTAACATGTAGCAAATATAATAATTACTAAGATGTTTTATACCCTCTTTCTCTAATGTGTGTTTGAAATCTGGGTGATTTACACCTAGACATTTCATCTTGACTAGCCACATTTCTAGTGCTTTGTACACATATGGCCTAGTGGCTGCTCTATCAGACTACATGGTTGCAGGCCATCTCACACCCTTTCACCCACAGCCTGCTCCTGTGGATGGGTTTGATCAGTTCTTGCTCAGTTTATATGTCCAACATTTAGTGATCAGTATGTACATGCAACATATACCTTATAGGCCTTATTTTCCATTCTTAACTGGGAAAGGAATGGAGCAGCCATGAAATGAGTTTTAGTTTTGTGTGTATGTTTGTAACATAGGAGCTAGTAGGTGGTTAATGATTTTGAATTCAGTCTTACCAGGCTAGATTGTCTTGTGCATTGTTTAGAAATGAGAACATAAATTAAGTGATATAATGCCTCTAAAATTAATTTTATATCCTAGGCTAGCTTTTTTTTTTTTCCTGCCAAAGTGGGCAGGTAGTGAAAGAGCTCCATAATGTTGAGGACTTTTATAGATCAGCAGGTAAACATTTTCCTAGGTACCTGTCCCCCTACTGGTACCTACCTGCATGTCTGGCAGCTAGGGGTGAGACAGAGCGCCTTTACTCTGCTGTCCACCTGGTCAGTTCAAGATTGCCATGGCCAGATTGATAAAGTGGCCACCTTATGGTTAAGCAAAGCTTGTAGTGATTAAGGTTTAAAGAAACAACCTGTATAGATTTGATGTGTATGGCTAGAAATTCCATAAATGTTCTTTCATCTCCAGGTACTCACCTGTCATTTTTTCTAAAATAATTACAGTACCAGTAGACGTATAATTTCTTATAGCCATTGTATTTACAATTTGTACTGCCTTTGTATGACAGTGAGCTGCAGGTGAAATGTGTCTAGAATTCACATTAGCAGTGGGGGAAGGGAGGAAGGGCCTGGATAGAGCCCTCTAGAGAGAAGGGCACGTATGTACAGGGAGTTGTGGTACTGATGGATGGTAGCATGCTCACAGAAGTTCGGGAAGGGCTTTCTGCCTTACAGAGAATACTCAACAGGTAAGTAAGATGGATTTGGGATACATTTGGAGGACCCAAATGCTAACCAACATTTGGATACCTCTTAAAATACTCTAGATCCTTTCCTGGTATCTCATATTTGTCTTCTTGTCTCTTTCTCTCTGTAAAACTGTTTAATCAAAAAACATATTTCACTGACTTTAGTCAAAATTGGTATTTATAATCAACCTAGACACTTGAATATAGGTATCTAGTAATTAGTCATGAATGCTTATTTACTCAAATGAAAATATCTTTGTGACAAGCAGATATAAATTCAGTTTACTTAAGAGTTAAAAAGATGTGATTATAACCTAGAAATAGGATAAATTCCTGATGTGCAAGAAAACAACTCTTACCACTTCTTAGGTACTATCTCTTCTCGTCATCCACTCCTGGTAGTAGTGGATTTGAGTGTTCCTTCCTACAACAGCCCCCACAGGAAGTGCCAGAAATGAGTGTCTGGGAGGGGCAGGGCAGGACTACACTCCATATTTTAGACCAACTCATTTTGTAATTTTGAAAAGTGTTCTTACATTTTGCTGAAATACATAATTGAAAATTATTTTGTTCTTCATTAATGGTAATCTTCTAAAACATACCACAAGTAGGGGGAGGGGACTTAATTTATTGTTTTAAAATATATATTTGGTGTTTTCTTGTTTATATCAGTATTACTGAAAATGTTGTATTACTAGTATTTCTGCTAAACATTTTACTTACCAGAGATGATAATAATTGGTTATCTTATTAAGAGGATGCTTTCCATTTTTTAAATTACAAGGTCAGCATCGCCTTAACCAAAAGACAGCACCTTGTGAAAACAAGGGCAAGTGCCCACTCACACCAGCAGTGCCACTATGACTTTCACTCATTAAGTCCTGCTTTCCTGTCAGTAGTTCGGTGAGAAGCAGAACAACACATGACTCTTGATTTGGGAACTTAAAAAAAAACATCAGGCTGAGGGTACTAAATGGAAGGGAATAGATTTGCAGGGCTGCCGGAGAAGAAGTGCAGGGCTTTTCAGGGCTCTATTGGCTGCGAGCTCAGCTCTGCTCTGGGGTACCCACTCCACAGGGACAAGGCTGTGCTGCATCATCCACAGAACATGGCTTAGGGCAGCATAGGGACACAGTGGCTATGAATTATATGCTCATTGGAGCAACTGAGTTGTGAAATTGCAGAGTTATTCATAGATTGTGGAATATTTTGAAATGTGACAGCTCTGATTTTGACATACGGCGGTTGTAGAGGGCTGTGTTTAGGTACGTTTTAGGTCTTCAAGAAAGCTAGTATTGACATGAGTGAACTCAGATGAAAGACATTCTCAGTATTCTTTTAAAAGTTACCATTTATTGAATGCCTAATGCATATTTTATTTACTTGAAAAGTACAGACTTTGCCAAGTATCTGAGTGATAGTTTTATGGCTGTCATGTAATGTTAGTAGTGCTGAGTGGCTTCAAGGTGGTGCAGCTCAGGGGTAGTGGTTGGTAGTGGGCACAGAGGGAGTGTAGATGTGTACAGGAAGAGCATACAGTGAACAGACTGGAAAACATTGGTTAAAAGATCCAGGCTGTGAGAAAGAGAAAATACTTTATTTTACCTTGTATAGAACTCTACAAGTTTATTTCCTAGATAATGTAGCCATGTTAAGCATACTACCTCCCAAAACTGAGTTGTTTTTTTAATTAAGAAATTTCATAGTCTTCAAAATAAGGTATGCAGGAGATGGTTTTATGCACAAAACTGGTTTTATTCACAAAACTGGTTTTATTCACAAAACTGGCATGCCGCCTGCATGACATCCCCACCTCACTTCCACCAAACAGAAAAAGCACTGACATCTGTGAATTGAATTGCTAACTAGTAATTTTCAAGTGAAAACTACATAGTTCCAAGATACTGTAAAAAAATTATTTTAATTAACTCATTTGTTGAAATTATTGTCTTCATCTCTCTCTACAACACCTATTTTTTTTCTTGTATGACCCAGAACTTCATAACTATTAGAATGACTGTGGATTTTTCTTTGTTGTGACCTAAAAATATATATACTCAATTGTGGGATATTGTAACACCTAAGTAAGATTGCATGAGTATGAGCACTTTTTTTGATAGTTACAATAAATTATCCAATGTTGATTTTTTTTTTTTTTAGTTATAGTTATGAAGGCTAACTAGAATATTTGTAATTATATGGCACTTAAATCTCATATTATTCTTTCATGATAGAACAATTCTGTGTACATTACTTTAATATTTACTTAAGAGTTAAATATATGAATTGGAAAAGAATATTTTCTGCCTAATTTTCCCCTACCATGTAAGTCCATCTTACTACTTACCACAAGAATTTCTGTCCTTGTTTTAAATTTTAAACTATAGTAAAAGAACAAGGGTATAAGGGTACATAATGAAATGTAAAAATACTGTAGTAGATTGCAGTTTTTACACATTTTTATATGTATCATCCAAGTAGTTTTTAATTTACTTCACTTGTGGCCATTCCAGCTATTCTGAAAATAACTTCAGGATTCCAAATCTATTACAGTCTTCTAATCAGCTGAGTTACAAATAAACAGCTGATTTTTCAGTGTTTTTTCTCCTAATTTTAGGACCATAAAATAGAGGCATTTCTTTTTTTTTTTTTTTTTTTTTAACTTTTTACAAAATAGACTGTTAATTGCTTTGATATGTTTTTTATCCTTTCAGTTTTCATATAAAAATGAGATCCAGGGCTTTGTCACAGTTACCTCTGCACATGTGAGGTGATTTTGTTTTAGCTTCCCTTTCCTGCATGGTGTCTTCTTTGACTATCTCTTCTCAGTATGGTGTTTTTACCTTGTTTTTGTGTAGGGTGCCGGTCAGGATAAACTAGGAATCTACGTCAAGTCTGTTGTGAAAGGAGGTGCTGCAGATGTGGTCAGTATCACATTTAAAGTATCATATATTTAACAAGTAATGTGTGATGTCTCACTGAGGCCCCAAGCTATGCAGTACTGTGCAATTTTTATTAGAAGAAGCCTATACTTAACCACCTTTTCTTCTTACCCTAATGCGTGCACACACCTTGTGGATGGGCTCAGGATGGACGACTAGCTGCTGGTGATCAGCTTCTCAGTGTGGATGGACGAAGTCTGGTTGGACTCTCTCAGGAAAGGTATGACGGACTGACTTTGAAAGTATAGTGTTAAAATATCTGGATGATGTTTTCCATTGAGTTTTGAAATTGGGAGATGGAAAATGAATGCTACAAAACCTCTGTGCTTTTATTATTATTTTTTTTTATCTTTTTAGGGGTAAAACTCAGTGTACATGGTATTTCATTTGTTACAATATTATATTTTAGTATAGAGTAGTTTCTTTTAAACTAAAAGAATATATATATATACTCCTAGTACTTCTTGCAGTTTTTTAATATCTATTAGTAAGATAAGGGGGTGTGTTTGCATGCTCTTGTGGTTAATTTTCAGAAGAAGGAAATGGGCAGAAGGTAATCTGCACACTACACAAAATGGATGACGAAAGTCATCCATTGCCCAGAATGGCAGATGAGGCTGGGGATTATGATTCTCAGTTGTTCTGATCATAGCCTCCTATAGGACCCTGAACATGGTTTTGTTTTTCTCACACTTGTGGTGTTCTCTTCCTAGGGCAGCAGAACTCATGACAAGAACGAGTTCTGTGGTCACCCTCGAAGTAGCAAAGCAAGGCGCTATCTATCACGGCCTGGCCACCCTCCTCAACCAGCCATCCCCCATGATGCAGAGGGGTAAGGACCCAAGATGTGCTCACTTCTGCCAAGGTGGCCAAGTCTAACTGGCCTCATACAGGGTGCTGCAAGTTCAACAGTCATGACCCCTTGCATAGTCACTAAAAACCCTGTGGTATAAATGCAGGTGTTACTACTGGTTCTAAAAATAAAGAAATTGAGAATGAGACCACTTAAAACAAGATGCCTAGGGATACCGGGCATCTGGGAGCCAGGATTTGGATGGTGCCATCTGACCTTGGAGCCCACACTGTAATGCAGCAGATTTCCCCTCCTTGTCCCCAAGACCCCTGTGACACCCCACCACCCCCACCAGTGTGGCTGGTTGGCTACTGGTGAGGTTCCATAGGTTGGTACAGAGTAAGTGCTGGACCTATAAACCCTTTAGGACACCTTCTCTCTACTGAAAGAATATACTTGCATTTGTATGTGAGTAGTATTTTAGTCCTGCATGTGCTGAAATGAGGCAGGACTATTTGAGTATATTTAATTTACTTTAAATTTAAAACTCGGTTATTGAAGTAATTTAACTCAGTTATTTAACCTGATTATTTGTGGGAATTGTTTTTTGTACTATATCAAAAAAATCAGAATAAACTAAATATAAATTTAGGGCACTTCAAAGATTTTTAAAACCACAGGAGAAAACTGTTATGACTCATATTCTTTTATTTTTATAATGACTCATATTCTTAAGTCACCATATACCTTCTTGGTCAGTCTTAATGATGCACTTTCTTTATTGTGTACATAGCCTGTGAAGTACCTTGATAAATAGTTGATAGAGCCCTCTTCTCCATGCAAGAAAATTCTGAGGACTTCACAGCTGAGAATCTTAAGTCTGTAGCTGATAGTAACAAGCAGCAGCAATATCAAAGGTTTCTGCTAGCCTGGACCATCTGCTTACTCTAAAGCAAACAGAAAAGGAATCTTGGCAAAACCTTTTGTTGTATTAGAGTCTTTGATTCAGCATGTTTTTTACTTTTTAATAACGTAAAAGTTAACATAGGCAAACTAGAACATGAGTTAGAAACTAAAGAGGAAAGCTATTACGAGTATATAACAGTGTGTAGCTTGGTGTGTGTAGCTTGGTGGTGGCATACTCCCCTCAAGTACATAGCATCTGGGTTCCAGCTCCAGCACACATACCACCCAGCGTGCGTAATAAATTAGAGTCAGCAAGAGGACTGAAAGTAGTCAGAAGCTGGTGGTCACATCAACTAGCGGCTGTCATTATGACAATTCTGAATGATGAAAATGTTAATATATATTAAGAAATGAGAGTAGCTTTATCTTTTAGGTAACATTTTTAGAGGTGACTTTAAACATCATTATTATTAAAATAGGTAAACCAGTTGATGAGAAAAATAAGCTTTGAAAGTGTATTTTTCTTGTAAATAACCAGATAAGTGTTTTGTATATTAAGATAATTGATAGCTTTTTAAAGATTCTATAACAAAAAATCTGCCTTATGTGAAAATTTATTTCATATGCTAAGAAATGTTTTATGAAATGAAAATTTTTAGATTCATTTTCCTTTTAAACGTAATGATTCATTTTCCTTTTAAACCTAATCAAGGTGCTTAAATAAATAATATCTTCAGACCAGTGAAAAGAAGAGGTATTAAATATGCTTTGTTTTCAGTTTCAGATCGTCGTGGCTCAGGTAAACCCCGACCAAAGAGCGAAGGCTTTGAACTGTATAATAATTCAGCTCAAAATGGCTCTCCAGAGAGTCCTCAGCTGCCTTGGGCAGAGTATAGTGAACCAAAGAAATTGCCTGGTGATGACAGACTGATGAAGAACCGGGCTGACCACCGTTCCAGCCCCAATGTGGCAAGTAAGATGCAGCTGTTCCTCTTTTTAAGTGCTTGTGTGGCCACAGTGAGAAGTGAAGGGTCACATTATGCTTTGTTAGTGACTAAAGGAAAGTTACTGTCTGCACATACTGGCTAACTAGAAGAGAGTTTTCATGATGGATACAGTAATTAGCATTCTTCTAACAGGAAAACAAAGTTAAAAATCCTTTGATTCAATTGCTGCTATAGACAAAAATACATTGTTAATGTCTTTGGAAAGATTGGCAAATTACCAAAGAAGCTAAAGTGGTTTTTACACTTATTTAAAGGGGTCAACAAAAAGAGAAATAATGGAAGGATGTGCAACAGAGACACAAGACTTGCCAAGCCTGAAGAATTTATTTTTCTAGGCCCTTAACAAAAGCATTGGCCAGTACCTGGTCTTGAGAAAAGCTCTGGCTCTGGGTTCTGATGGCATGAGGGAGAGTGATGATGTGACGGGACCCAACTTCTTACAGTTTTGTGTTGTGTCAGTGCTGGGCACCATTAACACCGTGTGATGATGCACAAGACGTAATGGCTGCCTTTAAAGACATTTTATGCTATACTAGCTTGTTTGTTTAATACGAAACTTTTTTCCCCTTGTTTACAACAGATCAGCCTCCTAGTCCTGGAGGGAAAAGCACGTATGCCTCTGGAACAACAGCGAAGATAACATCTGTCTCCACTGGGAATCTCTGCACTGAGGTCTGAGCGATAAGCTGTGGGGCTTTTACCACACTATTATACTGAGATTTCCCTTGGAATGTCTGAGTTGTCTAACATGATTCTTACTGAACAAGTTATCACTGATAATTCCTGTATTTTTACAGTATTTACTATTTTGATTTTTTAATATACTAATTTGGTAAATTAGTTTTAAATTAATAAATATAGGCAAAATAAAATGTTCATTATTCATAGTGTAGAATCAAGCACTTCATTTTAACTCAGTATTTAGCATTTATGCTGATTTTTGGATTTTAAAACATACCAGAAATTAATCTACTATATAATTGTAAACAACTTACTTTTCTTTGTTCTTTACATTTTACAGGAGCAGACCCCTCCACCCAGACCTGAAGCCTACCCCATCCCCACTCAGACATACACCAGAGAGTATTTTACCTTCCCAGCTTCCAAATCCCAGGATCGGATGGCTCCTCCCCAGAACCAGTGGCCAAATTATGAGGATAAGCCACATATGCACACAGATAGTAATCATTCCAATATTACAATTCAGGTTAGACATAAGGGGTTTCACAAATTTCCCTCATTCTTTAAAGCAATAGAGTAGATCACTTTGGCATGATGAAGTTTGAAAGATTTTAGTTACAATTGATATTTTCTGTGGAAGAGCGAGTTGTCTTTTTTCATGGCTTTATGGTTAACTCTGAGAGAAGGGAGTAGGATAGAATGCAAGATGCAGTGGACAGGGATGTGTTTAATATTTGATTAATGAAATGTTAGTGGTGTAATGTCTCAATTACAACTCTCAGTGCAAGTCTCACTGCTTCCAGGATTGAGAAATAAGGACCTATGATACAGTGTATATTTTGCTTCTGTCCTTGCTAAGTGGGCCTGGAGAAGTGGGTCAAATACATATGATGTGGTCTGTGCTACTGAAGAGCTATCATGCATGTCCTGTCAGGCATGGACTTCCAAGGCCCTGGTCTCAGTAGAACCTGAAAGGTCTCAATTCCATCACAGCCACCTGCATGGATGAGCATTCAGGACAGAGAGAAAAGGCATGGAGACATACAGTTGATCAAGAACCCAGGTGGGGTGAGGGAGGTGGCAGGACTGAGGCTCTCAAGGCAAGTGGAACTAGCTGGAAGGGCTGTGGAGAAGGTGCTGTAAGTCCCAGTACTTAAGCTTATCATACTTGACTGAAAAAAAAAGAAATTAAATGTATACTTACAAATGATGGCAGATCTTTAGAGCTTTCAATGATACAGGCAGCCTGCTATGGCATGTATGCCATAGATTCACCACCTCTGGTCTAGAGTAAATAATGTGTACCCTGGATAGTACATGTGGGAATTTGGAAGATAATTATTCTCCCAGTAGAGTGCCAAAAAAGACTTTGGAATTGAGCTAAGCCGCAAAGGGAGAGAAGAGCAGATAGGCAGAGAGGAGAGAGAAGGTCGTAATTCCAGGGAGCAGTGTGCACTGAGGTGAGAAGAGTATGTTCTGAAGACAGACAGTGGTCCTGTAGTTGGTCCGTCATGCCTTTGCTAGGTGGGCCTGATGATCTGTAGCATCCTGGTCCTGTGAGTGCTGGTACCTTCTCCACCCTGTCAGGGTACCATACACACTCTGGTAGAAAGTAGGGGAAGATGCCAGGCCACAGGTACAGAGTTAGACATTTTGCACCTGGGCCAGGGCAAATGCAGAGGCTTTGCTCTACAGATTTCATGTCATTTAATACTTTTTTTGGTAATCTGTAAATTATGTAGCCAATAATGAAGAAGCTATTTTTCTGTTTGTAAAGTTGCCACTAAATTTTGGGAGTAAATGTTCCAAAATGTTCTATTTTTCTGTTAGGCTATTGTTTTCTAAAGTGATATTTCATCTTTTGTGTTGTCTGCAAAAAGCTTATTTATTTCACTCTGTTTCATGCACACATTCTACCCATTGAATTTTATACCTGTCTTTTTTACATCTTTACAATTGGAGCAGATGCATCTTGGATGAATAGGACTTGTCCTTGGAGCATGACTCCATCAAAGAGCTAAAAAAGCCAGTCCTAAGCTTTAGGACTCACTCAGAAATGGATCCATGGATAGATGAAATGGCTAAGACTGAATAATTAGTCTTAGTAATAAATAGAATTTCATTGCAGGAAAGTAGTTGTGGTTGCCCTACATGTGCTTCATCCATTCTCAGCAGTCAGCTGTGTGGCGGGTCCTTCCTGGGGCCCTCACATCTGCCCTTGGAACCAGGGGAGGAGGTGGCGTTGATGTGCCTGAGCAGCCCTGTGGTCTGTTTTTTCCAGTGCTGCAGAGAGAAAGCCTGGCTTTTCCTTCTTTTTTCACAGCTGAGTTCACTGCAGTCACACTTTGCCAGTGATTCATAGGGCAGTCTGCATTTTTAGTCAGTAAACATCCAACAGTTGTTGTGGTCCATTCACTCTGAAAAGGAGTATGTGAATTTTTTTATGCTGTCTTTTTTTTTGTGTGTGTAGGACTAAAGTTTTAACAGTTCTTTTTTTGTTACCCAGCGTGTTACCCGTTCCCAAGAAGAGCTCCGGGAAGACAAAGCTTACCAACTTGAGCGGCCTCGAATGGAGCCAGTCATGGATCGGAAGTCTGACAGCGATATGTGGATAAATCAGAGCTCCTCAGTAGAATCTAGCACCTCTAGCCAAGAGCACCTGAACCATTCCTCCAAGTCAGTCACCCCTGCCTCTACTCTGACCAAAAGTGGTCCTGGCCGCTGGAAAACCCCTGCTGTGGTACCACCCACACCAGTGGCCATCTCCCAACCCATTCGAACAGACCTGCCTCCGCCACCACCTCCACCTCCTGTCCACTATGCCAGTGATTTTGATGGGATTCCCATGGATTTGCCTCTTCCACCCGCTCCTGCCAACCAGGTGGGACCCCAGTCTATTCAGGCGGCTGCTGCAGAGCGGAAGAAGAGAGAAGAGCATCAGCGGTGGTATGAGAAGGAGAAGGCCCGCCTAGAGGAGGAGCGGGAGAGGAAGCGCAGGGAACAGGAGAGGAAGCTGGGGCAGATGCGCACACAGTCCCTGAACCCGGCTCCCTACTCACCCCTGGCTGCACAGCAGGCAAAGCCCGAAAAGCCTTCCACACTCCAGAGGCCCCAGGAAACGGTCATTCGGGAGCTGCAACCCCAACAGCAGCCCCGCACTATCGAACGCAGAGATTTGCAGTACATCACAATTAGCAAAGAGGAGCTCTCCTCAGGTGACAGCCTGTCTCCAGACCCATGGAAGCGAGATGCCAGGGAAAAGCTGGAGAAGCAGCAGCAGATGCACATCGTGGACATGCTAAGCAAGGAGATCCATGAGCTGCAAAGCAAGTCCGACCGCACCGCAGAGGAGAACGACCGCCTGCGGAAACTCATGCTGGAGTGGCAGTTCCAGAAGAGACTTCAGGAATCCAAGCAGAAGGATGAGGATGATGAGGAAGAGGAGGATGATGACATGGACACCATGCTAATCATGCAGCGTCTCGAGGCTGAGCGAAGAGCCAGGGTAAAGGGGAAAAATGACTTGGTTGTGCGTATCTGTGCTCTCTATTTTAACTTGTGTGTTTGTTACGGAGACAGCTAAACCTGTGATCTTGAGGAAGGACTAAAAAGGCCCCTAGGCATATCCTGTTTACTATAGGTACTACTGTTGGCTGATGTCCTATAGAAATGAGCCAGGGTTATAGGGCTGGAATTCTTTGAGATGCGTCCTTTGCCAGAATTAGATACAATTCAAATGAAGCTTTATTTTTAATTAGTATCAAAAGTATCCTCCTTATTAACCATTTAGTTGAGAAAAAGGGTACTTGTTAATGACCACTAATCCCCATCAGGAATTGATGTCTTTTCATATAGGGTCAAATGGTAAACTCCAGAGGTTTAGTTATATGTAGACTGACAGCCACTCAGCTCTGCTATGAGGATGCAAAGCACCCGCAGATGTCATGCAAACAGTAACTGGCTGGTGCCCACAAAGCTACACCAAAACACATGACAGGTGGCTCATGGCCCTGATCTTGATTGTGAACAAATGAAGCCATTCAGGACATCAAATTTAAAGTCATTACCAGAAATAAAATATTATTAGGGATTATATTGTTGATGAATTAGATACTTACTTACAGAGTAAAAAGTTTCAACTAAAAACTGCCTTGTTCATATATCTCCATGTTATAAAAATAACTTGTTTTGTTTCAAATTACTTAAACTAAAATTTAGTTTATTGCAATCAATTATTAAAATGCCAAATTTTAGATGAAAGTTTGATTCTTTGATACCTTTTCAAGGGAATTGGTATCAGAAGGGCATTATTGTTATTAATTTGGGCATTAGAAAGGTTGTTGACCATGACATGTTAATGCATTTTAGTTACACTTTTTTTCTTAATCTGTACAATGCAGTATTCCAAGAAAAGATAGCCAAGTATGTTCTTTTTTGTTATTTGAGTTTTGCTTCTAGTTTCAGCTGCTTTTTAATACTGTGTTTTAACTAAAACAATAGCTGCTAGGTCTGATATTTTAATTCATCTTCCTCAAGATAAAATTCAGGTTTAGGTAATTTTTAGTGAGTACACGGAGCCTAGTAGTGGGATCCATTTTCAGTTTGCTCTGTGAATTTTTCCTGAAAAGTTCTGTTACATCTACTTCTGAATATATAAGTATTTGTCCCCGATCTATGTTCATGATTTTCCTCAAAATTCAGCTCGATATCCTTTTTGTTAAGTGAAACCAGAATCTAACTTGTAATTTTAACTGTTACATTGTTTTATTAGTATATTTGTAAGTCATCGGTAATAAGACTTATTTAATAATGACTATATTTATTTACCAGAAGAAGTGTTCTGGTTTTGGAGTTTTGTTTTGTTTTGTTTTGTTTTTTGAGGGGGTTGGGTTGTTTTTTGGGTTTCTTTAGGGTTTTTTTTTTTAACCTTTTTTGTTGTTCTTTTTGTTGTTATTTTTTAAAGAGGAACTATTTTATAAGCAGCAAGTATTACTATGAGGATTCTTTGGCTAGCCTTCATTTACTGCATGACCAGAATTCAGTGGCACTGTTATGTATGTGGTTGTCTGGCCTTGCTGGTGCTGATGCCTTCTACTCTACTCTGACCAGAGTCACCAATAGATACTGTGACCTGGACTCACCCCACAGCAAAGTATATTCATGATCCTGTATTGTCCATACCCCAGACACAATGAAACTATGGCTTTATATTTACTATAGATCATACTCTGAGTATCCAATAGTTTTATTAGCAAATGGGTAAATAATAGCAGTTCTTACTGGTACAGCTATATTCCAGTAAAAGGAAGAAATTAGCAACTGTGTTGTATATATTTCTATAACTATACTTACAAGATGAAATTTATATTGAAGGGCTGTCAGTTTTTCTAAATAATTAAAACACAGGATTTCAAAGCCTTCTATGTTGATAAAGTATGTTAAGGTTAATATCTTAGCCTAAAGAGATTATCCTTATCTAAACTTAGGGTTTTAGTTTCTATGAATCTTAAAGACAAAATCCAAGTATTTAATACCATGTGAAAATTTTTGTATTTCTGAATACTAGAAGTTAACCTGTAGTTCTTTAGGTTTTTCAGAGAGTTGTCCAAAACAAGATAGAAACAGAGTATGCTGATGGCAGAATACAGGTCTAAACCTAACTTTTTTTTTTCACGCTTCATCTTTCTTTCTTTCTTTTTTTTTTCTTCTCTATTACCTGCAGCAGACTGCTATGCCAGCAATCTCTGTTCTAGATTTGGTATGTTCTTGTTTCTTTCCCTTTGGTACTTTTCCTGTCTTGATTTTCTTTTCTCTTTTGGTGGTGGCTGTTTTATGTTCTCAGTAGATCAGTTCTCCTAGGGTCTCCTAGATCAGGAGACTAGCCCTGTCACTATCTACAAGCATGCCTTGAATGTTACTAGATTTAGTTTCTCTTTACTTTTCTCTGTTAATTTTAAGTGTTACTGTTTGTTTATGGTTTCAAACTTTTCTCAGTTTTAGTCATAATTTAATTCTGTGTATTCTTATGTAGTCATAAGTACATAAGCAAATGAAATAACTTGCCATAAGTAATGTTTCATTCTTTTATATTAGAAATCGATCTTAAATATTCAATGGTTATAAACCCAAGTGAAATGTTAACATTGTTGCCAGTTTTAAAGCTATTGGTAGAGTAAGCTTTCCAGTGAACATGTGTTCTGTGTTTCCATTATTAATATCATGTTAGATTTTTGTGTGGTTTATCAGCCATCCCAGTTTATAGTCTGCTAAAAAGTAGTTGAGGTCAAACTCTGTTATGAGTTCAATGTGTTTATTATCAACTTTGGGGAAATTTTTGGTTGCTCATTTAGTGCTCTTTTTCCTTATGTCTATGTCACCTGCTGGACAGTTGTATTCGAATATATTTATATTAAGTAAGTACCTATTTTGGATCAGCTTCTCAGTGATAGAAAGCCAGTATCAGTAAAAATATCTCAGAATCAAGGTTTGCTTTAATGGCCTTTTTACTAGGTAATAGTTTCAATTTAAATAGCATGAGGACAATGGCGTCCAAAGAGAAACTTTTCTTATAAACATCTCCCTTCTTGGTGATCAAAAGGCATATATCCTGCGCTCCACATTTCTTTGTTTTGTTTTACATGAAAGAAAGATAGTAAAAATTGTAGATTTTTCTCCCCACTTTGTATATGAAGGTATCAAAAGATGTAAGTGGAAAACACTGATCAGAACTGTTTCTAGTATAAGATACTCATTTAACAATCCACTATGTGTCAGAATCCACTCTGTGACAAGCACTCTGACCCAGTGCACTAAGATACGAACTGACTTTTGTCCGAATTTTTTATTCCATGAAGACATGTATAACATAGGTACAACAGTATTTAAGAATAACAGTCACACTGAGATTTTTCATTTTATAGAAAGAGGCCTGATTTTTATTTCAGAGAATGAGTATTTTGAGTATTACACACCAATCTTAAATACCACACCTAAGAGCATTTCTTAGCCCAATTCCTCAGTAAGTGTTAATATTATTAATAACCATACCATTATCTATAGAATTCTTACCATGTCAGGATCAGAAGGTTGCCCTGGGAGCCTCCTTCCTGAAGGATCAGTTGTAATGGCAAGTCTGTGGTTCTGTGGGGAGCGGTGCTATCCTGCAACCTGAAGATTCTCAGCATGTCTCAGGATTTAGGGCAGTGGTGGCAAAGCTGTCGCACACATACTGCAGCAGGCTGTTTGTATCACTGAAATCTCTAAAAGGTTTGCTGTCACTGATTTGGGGTGACTCGTGTCAGTGAGGCAGGTCATGTTCCTGTTGGGAGCAGCCAAGATCCGTAGGACTGGAAGGCTGCCTAGGCCAGTTCCTGCTCTTTTCTTGCTCTTCTCTCTATGTAGCCTGCCACCCCAGTCAGTCCAGGGCTGACTCTTGTCTTTGGTTGCTCATCTCAAACTTGCAACTTCAGAATTATAATGATGCTAATGAGACTCATTCATACGTCTAGTCTAACTTCTTGCGCCCTAAATATTCAGAAGACCCACTGACCTGTATACCATCTTGTGGGGTCAGGTACAACTTTTCAAGTTCAGCCTGTTCAGAATGGAATACTTTTTCTTCCCCATGTCCTCAGACTGCAGCCCTCTGCCCTCACCTTCCTGTTCCAATGGACACTTCCATTGCTTCATCAAAAAACCTGACAGTCTTCCATAATACCTTTTCTCTCTATTCAAAAACCACTGCCTTCTCTTTCTCAGAATCGGATACTCCTACATTCCCCTAGTCTCCTGCTATCCTTTCCTGCCTGGTCACTACAGGAGTGTGGCTAGATCCCTCAGTTCTAACCCTGATTCCTTGACAGGCATTTGTGACATAGCAACTACAGTGACCCCAGGAGGAAGCTCTCTATAGCCCTCCTGAGTTAGGCTCCTTCACCTACGTAGATATTCCAAGTTTTCCCAGGCCTACGGATACTATTGGTGTATACAGGCCCTGTCTGTGCTACTCTCCAGCATGCCAGGCCAGCTCCTACCTGTAAGTCATTGCCCTTCCCTGAAATTGGCAGTGCTTCCTCCGTCAGCACCATCCAGTCTTACTGAGATGCCACCATCTGAATGAGAGGGTACCCTTTTTGTGCTGCTTGACACTGTAACTTATGTCCCTCCTCCCTCAGCTCCTGATTATCCTTCTCATACTCTGGTTGTTTCCTGAGCGTTTACTGTCCTCTTATTCCCTCCCATATGTGACTTGTCGTGATGTGTATTTGTCTCTTCTGGATAGCACACACCTCCATGGGAGCAGTGACCTTTATCTATGTTTCTGGAGCAGTTCTGGTATGTTGAAAGTCACTAGTACTGAGGGAGTGGAATACGGTCCTGAACTAGCCCATAAGCTCCTGAAAGTGTGTCGACTTCATGGTTGTCCAAGAATAAAACTGTCATTAGAGTCTTCTGTTTTTAATTACTAAGATGATACATGAGCCTATTCATCCAAATATCTCCTGCTGGGGGAAGCATCCACAAGGCCAGCACATTAGTCTAGTCTTTTGTTTGTTTTGTTTTTTTGTTTTTCTTCTGGTACCGGGAATGGAACTCACGACTTTGCACTTGCCAGGCACGCACTATGCTGCTAAGCTAAATCCCCAGCCCCTAGTCTAGTTTTAATTGTCCTTTTTCTTAGATTTCATGGGCAGATCTGTCTCCAGGAAATCTCTGGAGTGTGTGTGGACCCATATGTTCTATAGTCATGGTACTCTTGTCCCTAGAGCTTATCTCTTACTTTTCCCCACCATGCTAAGGTTCAAACCCAGAGCCAGGCACATGTTAGGCAAGTGTTCTACCAATGAGCTGCACCCCAGAACCCCTGTCTCTAGCTTTTATAGCCTATTCAGTTAGGCCCTGGGGCAGGTAGCTGCTGACCCAAGCTAAATTTTTACTTGGCTTAAGGTTTCAAGGGCGGCCCCAGGTCCTTCTACCAAATTATAGGATGTCATTCTAAGTTGACACTCTGGGTCACTTTAGTACTCTAAGATGCCAAATAATTACTCACATTGCTCTCATTTCTCCATAGCAGAACTGTTATGTGGGTGAATGTAAGTGCCAAACCTAATACTTGGGTCTTACTCTCTTATCACAAGGATTGGACTGGTTATAAGTCAGTGTTCCAACCAGTTTCCTGCCTCATATTAAGTACTTTTGCTTTTATGCAAAAGTACCTCCTTTTTATAAAGTGGTATTGCTGGAACCCATCAGTCAACTAGATAGTTATAGGGCCTGGCAATCTCAGTGGCTCTTTCAACTTTGCCTTCTTCCACATTTCAGTGGGTCATCTGCTGACTAGGATAACATGAGAATTCACGGAGAGGTTCTTCCATCTTAGGGTAATGCCAATAAGAGGTTTTCAAATTGCAGTCCTGCCTGCTTACTTGAAAACTCAAACTGGAGCTCCCCTCGTATGTCGTGCTTTTGCCTGGACTTTAGGTAGGGTGGTAGGTATCAGGTATAACCATCTTGAGTGTTCCAAGTAGAGAAAGGTTTGAATCAAAAGCTGTGAGGCTGGGGATTTAGTTCAGCGGCACAGTGCCTGCCTGGCAAGAACAAGGTCGTGAGTTCAATTCCTGGTACTAGAAGGGAAAAAAAACAAAACAAAACAAAAAAAACTGTATAGACATTGCAATCAAGAATTGATAGGAAGCCAAATTGGAAATCTGACCTCCAGAGTGCATTGGTACGAAGTACTCTGTGTGGCCTTTTGGGACCAAGCAACGCACCCCTGGAAGGAGATGAATCTGCCCAGGGTGGACACATCTCTCCCCAGAGGGCAGTACTGCTGAAGGAGTTAGGACCCATAGGTATACATTGTGGAGTAGAATATAAAGTCCCCCACTGCTGCAAGATCAGAGTTGCCCTAAAGCAGCTTTGTGTATGTCCTGGACTTCCTCAAGCCTTCTATACTATTTGAGAGTTACTCTGTTTATCTGCCACTGGGCTATTTCAGCAGCTGAGCTCTAGATCTTGTAAGTTCTGAGAAAACTGTCGTTGTCCTTAAGTTTAAAAAAAAAATTATGTGGGCTATTCTAAGGGAAAGACCAAGCATTGCTCATGCTCCCCATCACTCAGTACATTCACTGTGAGAGAAGACTTTGCTTTCTAATGAAATCTGACTCTAAATTTGGGCATCTTTCTCTTGGATAAACAGCTGGTCCCTTGCAGGCTGGGCTCTAAGCCCAAGTCTTAGGGTACCAATGGCCTATAGTAATAAATGTTGTAGGGTAAAGGATTTCTTCATTTTTTAGCCTTAAGTTTGGGCTGAGGGGTACATTTTTCATGGGAAGGAGCATAAGCCAAAACGTTTATAGAGGAAAAGGATTGTTAAAGGGTTTAACAGACTTTGAGTTGGGTGTTCTGTAAAAATTTCAAAAAGTAAAAGATAATCCTCACTGTGATCCCATTTTGTGTTCAGCATTTTATTCCACAAACATCAAGGAAGAGAGTTGTTTCAACAACAAAAAACAAACACATTAAATCTAGAAGTGGGCATTTTGGGTTCTATTAAAATTGAAATGCATCTTATAGGAGTTTTACGTAAGGAATCTTTGAAGTGGTTAGAGAAGGAACCAGATGGCTTTGATTGCCATTTTAAGTTTGGAGATTTTGAGTCATTACCTCTTAATGGTGTCGTAGTGTAGCTGTGGGTATTCGATAGTCCAGGTAGATACCTGGTGAAAAATATCTAAGGATGCAGAGATGTCAGTTGCTGCTGTCTCAGGCTACCACGCAGAAATAGCCATACACCATGATAAAAAGGGGGGGAGGGTCTTACTTCTGTCCTGTTTAATAATCCAGAAGTCTTAGACAAGGTATTTTTAACTTGCAGTGCCTAAAGAAATGTGACCAGGAAAAGAAAGGAGTTAAAAAAACAAGTAAGGTTCGTCTGTACATGGGGGTATTTGAAGATAACCTAAAGTATTTAAATAGTATGAAGGAAAGGTATTTTCTGTGTTGTTAAAAAGAATTCAATGACTAGATGTAGAAAAACAGTCAGCTGAATTTTGAACCAGCATAACTTTTTAATTAGTCATCACCTAAAACAGAGTATACTCTAAGGGAGCAGAAGGGATGGCAGTAGTTGCCATGCACTTGAAGTAGTAGACAGAAGTGAGCCAGAATGATGTTCTTCCAAACCTCAGGTTTAGACTCTGACTGCAAATTTAGGGCTGTCCCAGGAAGGGAAGGAATTCTTGAAGTCCGTGATGCAGTCTGGATATAGTTAACGTTAAAGAGGAGAATGAGCACTAAATCCTCATTCTCCAGGAGAAGGTGCAGTGCTTGGAGTGACTCTCAGCAGAAATTAGGTCTTACCTATATCCTATGAGTGGGGGACCTTCCTGATCTCTACAGTGGTTGAGCCTTCTGAAGTTTGATAAAGTGAGGGCAATCTGTTACACAAGTCTGTGAATTTATAGGAGGTGGCTAACATTTATTCTAATGAAAAAATTATGTTCAGTGCATGAACATACATGATAACTTGCTTCTTTGAGCCACGATTAATGGAAAATAAATCTGGGACTATGGAGATGAAGTTTTAGGTAATTTATTTTGAAGTTATAGAACTATTAAATATGTAAATTGTATCATTTTCCAACAGTGATTTAACCTGGCATTTTCTATTTAACTTTCTCTGTGTGTTGTGTGTTGTGTGTGTGTGTGTGTGTGTGTGTGTGTGTGTCTGTGTGTGTCTAGTCGTCTTTGTAGATGCTTTTGATGTCTTGTGCCGGTGGGCTTGCTGACTGAAAGTTAAAGTCCACTTATTGTTAGTTGCAGGATGAGGAGCGCAGGCGCCAGCAGCAGTTGGAAGAGATGCGCAAGCGGGAAACAGAAGATCGAGCAAGACAAGAGGAAGAGCGTCGGCGTCAGGAGGACGAGAGAGTGAAGCGAGATGCTGAAGAAAAGGTTATGGTCCTCTAAGGGCAACTAGAATTTTACCAAATTAGCCTGAACATTATTGATTGGCTGGGGCAAAGGGGGCTAGAAAATGTGTATCTAAGATGCACAAAACAGAGCAGGGCCGGACCCCCAGCTTTTGTTACTGGACCAAAAACTCTAACCCTGTCTGGCCCGCCTACCTCTCTTCTGGACTGTCTCCAGACTCCCTTGCCTTCTGAGCTGGTCTCCCTCAAACTCCTGAACTCCTAGGTCTGCATAGCAGCCTCTGGACAAAAGGTCCATTTGCGTGGGGCTCTGATCCTTACTGGACAGGGTCCAGCTCATTTTGTGAAGCTGACACTTGTTCAGTTATCATTTGGATTGAGTGTGAACTGTGAGAGGTAATAACATAGTAAGACAGTCTGTTAACTTTATAACCATTTCAAATAGGTCATTCACTAAAAATTTACTGGATTCTGATCAGTGGTTAAGAGCACAGGTGGCTTATATAAACAGTATACAAGGACAAGTCAGTACGTACTCTGATAAGTATTTTAAGTTACTTATTTCCATGTATATTTTATTTAATTCAAGGATTCTTTAGTTGAATTTTAAAACGACAGCTGATTTTGACATTCTGAGAGCTGGAAACTCTTCTGAGTCTGTGTGTTCTGGCTGGGGCTTCTCCCTGGGTAGGAGACTGTGTTGTGAGCCTGGGCAGACTCCACTTGTCTCCAGCAGGTGCTTGTTGTGATGTGGCTTGAGAGAAGCTATTCTTGGTTACTTCCCTTCCATGAAGGTAGAAGCTTTGACTGTCAAAATATCTGACAGGGAGAAGTTTAGTTATTAATAATTCTTTCCTTGATAGTCTAGTGAACTCTGTTAATAGAACCCGCCCCCACAAAATAAAAGCCCAAAACTTAAGAAACTTTGTAGTGATGGAATTGATTCGGCTACAGGACAATCTCAGAGTAAGATTGGTAGATGTGGTGTGGCTCCTTACAGGAAAGCAGAATGGATACTGTGAGGACGCATACTTGCACCAGAAGCTGATTTTGGTGTGCTGTGCACCTTAGTCCTCCTGCAGGTGTGTCCTGCTGCTCCTGCTATAACTGAGCAGTTTTAAGAAGGTCACCCATTGAGTTTGTGCTTTGAGGGTAGCTTACCCTGAGTCTTTTACTTGTGTAATGTAAGAAGTGATGATCTTTCCAGGAAATCAATTTCCAGGATTTAAGCCACTTGGTCTTGAAGTTTATGGTGGTTGGTGGTGGTGTTTCACTGTTCCCTGAAAGCCCCTCTGAGTGTGGGAAGGATGCCTTCTCCGGGTCAGTGCCTGCCTGGCTGCCCCAATCCTGCCTGGTGCTCATGGCTATAGTTAGGGCCACTCCTGGCCTTGCTCAAGCCTTGGTGGGACAGCCTGGGCATCATCTCAGAGCCATGCACATTGAAAGACAGACCAGGCTGTGTTTTCTGTGTAAGAAACTCTTGGGTTCATTTTTCAACATACATTCTTAAAACTCATGTTGTCAAATATACTTGTGTTTTAGTAACTGCTTCTATAACTAAATGGTCACTGTAAAAAGAAGCTGAAAGGTCTATTTTTAATACAAAATGTCCAGAATTCATGGATTTGCATTGTTATGGAAAAATATGTGTTCATTTTCTGGGTAAAGTCTCCTTGGTCATGTAATTGTATCTGCTCTTGGCTTACTGGAGAGGACTTCGGTCTCTTCTTACAGTGTTACCAAGCAACTGTTCCTTGTGTGATTGCAAGACTCTTGACTGTGCTGTTTAAAGCCACAGAAGTCATTCTAGTTTGATTGCCTAAATCAAAAGAATATTTTGTGCAGACAAACAAGATTTTTTAAAAATGTCTTTCCTTCAGGATTTCCCAACACAGAGCAAGAAGATAAAGAAAGAAATGGGGTCTGGGGTACAGATTGGGCTGGCACTTACTCTTCTCATTTTCTGTCTGAGAAGGCGAAGGGGGACCATTATGCGTTCACTGTGCATGTGTGTGGCTGTAGAAGGCATAGGAAAAAAATGCAGCATTAAAGCCAAAATAGGGCCTAAAAAAACTGATCTTAGTAACAGCAAGGTCCTAAAATTAGTCCCCTTTGGTTAAATGAGTTTAAAATTTACCGTACTCCATTTTGTAGCGTTAAACATTTACTCAAGGCAGTTTATTCTGTGTGATCTTTCATCCCTTTTCATATTTGCTTTTTTCTTGCGCTCTGAAACTCTTGTCAATCTTTAACAAAACTGTGCTGTTATCTTTTCTAATGTTAAAAGAATTTTAACACTGTCAACTGTAGTTTGTGCAGATGTATGTCAGAAAAAATGTACAGTATGTGTCAAAATATATTTGAATACAGTATCTTGTTGCTGTTGCTATTAATGCTTGGCTTTCTAGTTTTCTGTTCATCAGGGAGTTTATTAAGATTTGAAATATAAATTAAGAATTACGGAAAGCACATTGGTAGATTGTTCCTTTGGAAAAACGAGTGATTTTACTTACAGTGTATGGTTTCCTAATAAAACACAGCAGTGTCAGGTAAGTTAATATACTACCAAAACAGAAGAAGAGAGAAAGAGGAAGAAGACAGGAAAGAATTCAGAGGATTCTTAATGCAAGTCTAGTTGCATAATTCAAAAGGGGCTCCAGAATCGATTTCTTCCATGCTTTTGAGCAGTTTCATATGAAATTAATCCGGAATAGTATGAGTGCACTTACAAGTCTCAGGAGAAGAATATTTCTGAATTCACCTACTTCTGTTACAGTTAATTTTGGCAGTTAAATGTGGCATACTGTGGAACTGTTGTCAGTGTGATGATGGGGCCTGATGATCAGTGTACCTTTCATTCCCTATAAAGGCCCGGTGGGCCCATCACTCCCCTTCTAACCTCTGACCTTTGCACTTTTGTCTATTCCGCCTGCAGAGGCGACAGGAAGAAGGGTATTACAACCGCCTGGAAGCTGAGAGGCGCAGACAACACGACGAGGTTGCGCGCAGGTTGTTGGAACCTGAGGAGCCTGGGCTATGCCGACCTCCACTTCCACGGGACTACGAGCCCCCAGTCCCGTCCCCTGTGTCCAGTGCCCCTCC